AACCATACTTCGGTCCGGTTCGGTTTGGTACCGGTTCTCATTTTATGAGAACCGGTCATGACATTGTTTAGAATCGGTACGGTCCGATTTGGGACAAAAATTTTGAGATCCGTTTCAAACCCCGTTTTTCGGTCTGACACCATACCGGTTCGGTTCGGTACCACGCCAATTCGGTATTTTTGCCCACCCCTACTATAATCTTCTGTACAAAACCGCTCAGGTGACGTAAGCCATAGAAAGCTATCACACGGATGACGTAATCACATTTGTATGTGAATTTGGAGTCCTTAAATTAAAATGACTAATATAATCCACAATCTGTTTATGAGGTCCCAAGCTCTGCAGGTGAGGTCAAGCTTGGATGTAGTGTACATATTTGAAGGAGGATGACCGTAGCTCATTCTGTGCAAAGTAGCGATGCTTTCTGTGATCCCTTGACTTCGTAAGGCGGCAGTTGACCTGAAGCTCGGTAATGATGTTGTATCTGACGTTGACCTCGGCAAGGATCGACCTCGACCTCAGATGCAGTTTTGGACTTATATCAGTAATCTGCGAGTTGAATTCTGACCTGATCTCGGCCGGGATCGAACTCGATCTCAGTAGGAAAATGACTCAATGGGTTCTGGAGATCCTTTATCCTTTATCCCAGCCCTGGGGTATATGGGATATACTTCATTAATATCTGTAATCAACTCCTATGAATTCAAATATATGAGCATTGAAAATTCAAACATTTGAATTTGCAAACAATCTTGATATAAATAGGTTTATTACTCAATTATTATTAGTATTTGTTATACTGCCTCCATTCCCCTAAGATTGAGATAAAAGGGGTGGTGCGTTTATTAAGAAAAGTGAAATTGTGTAGTTGATATTGAATTGTTGAAGTGTGAATAAAGTAAGAATAGAATATTGTAACTAACCACTCAAATATTACCAAATATAGTACTTTATGAGTTAAACATAGTGAGACATACGAAAAAGATAAAACGAGACAAAGATAGTGGGACGCATAGAGTAATAGATAAGATAATTTAATAAAAGTAAATTATAACCATATCACTTTTATGTTCATATAGTGAAGGTTTAGGCTTATGCTCATTTATAACATAGTACCCATGTTCATTTCTTTTAAACTATAAACTCATTCCTATAAATCTATTTACTAAATTATCACTAGATCTAGCAATAAGAAATATAGTAATTTTTTATAATTCACCATTCTTGACTTTGTAAATTTATTGTGTCATTTTACCATGTTTCATTTAGTATAGCATTCATTTTAACACTATACTCATTTTTGTATAGCATAAAACTTGTTAGCGCTTAGTCTCCACATAATAGCGCTTAGTTCATTTAAACTATACTTATTTAAGTATAATATAAAACTGATTTACATATCAATAATACACATATTATATTATCTAACTTATTCTTTTAAACATATGATCATTATATTGTAATATATCTAAAATAAATTTGTTTTGCTGATTTTATAATATAAGATTAATGTTCATTTCTTTTAAACGTTATACGCATTTTAACCTAGCTAACAAAACACTCATTTCAATATTTACACATAATAAACACATTACACTTCCAATTAGTAAAGTTATTTATGTTTGCTGATTTATTATTTAAAAAAACATTGAGAAAGCATATCTCAAGAATTCTACAAAATTCTTAAGCATTAAACTAAAAAATGACAAAAACCATCTAAAATTTGTTAAAAGTGCATAATTAAAAAATATTAGTACATTCCAAACAAACTTATCATGCGGACGGAATAAATCAGACATATGTCGACCTCAGTTTTTTATCAAATACGCATTTGATATTTATGAGTTTTAAATGGAAAAGTAACCAAGCTCTTCTTCAAGTCTTACTTGTAATTCCACTTAATTAGATCAATCACCTAGGTTGACCCTACTGTGGCCACAATATTTAGATAGCCTACATAATCAAAATTCAATACTTACCCACGTAAATCAATTCTTGGAAAGCAAATTCTCCACCTTGATTACTCCCAAAAGTGCTGCCAAGATATCCAATCCATCCAATTATTAATATAAAAATGTAACCTAATACAAACCTCATGCTTTTCCTAATAGAGGGATCGATATTGGATATTTTTTCAAGTAATTAGTATTTTCGTTTTGGATTCCTTATAGGCTGTAGGAATAAAAGTTAACCAAAGAGAGATACAATTAAACCCGCAAAGAGAGAGGAATTAAAAACCTGATCTTTAATTCTCATATACTCCATTATTGACAAAGGTATTCAAAATTGTCACTCTTTTCACGCACTAATCATCATGAGCATGAAACGCACACGGCACACAAATGTGTCTAAATGAACAAAACACTTCAGAGGTGTGAGCCTGAGCGGAAGTCAACGAAGAATGTATGGGAGGTGTTAATAGTTTTGTGATGGTTTGGTTCTGAACTCGAGGACCGATTGGTAGAGTTCAGTTCATCGTGAATTGGGTTTGCATGGTAAGTTTGGTCCGAAAGGGAACTTTGGTTCTCATCTATTACTTGATTGATAGGAATGATGTACTTGTAATGGTCCGGCGATGATGAGTCTCCTCACAAACTTGTATTGTAATACCTCAGAATGTTGGAGGTATTGGTCCTACCAAGGCCTCTCTTCCATTTTATTATTGACTTGCACCCAATGTTTACTCCCAATTTTTCATTACTATTATTGATCCTCTCCTGTCTGTTAACTCACCTCTTATCTGGCTTTGGCCCCCTAATTTTGTCCGCTGCAGTCTGTCCCTTTGACTTGGTGTTACCCGTGAGTTGTCAAGTGGCCAACATCCTATTATTAGAAGCCTTAGCCTGTTCCTGTGAGTTTTGTCTTGCGTGAGAAACTAAAGAGAGTGGGCCCTTCCTTTTCCTTTGTGTGAGAGAGGTCAAATCAGAGAGTTGAGAGCTGAGATTTCTTCTCCTTCCTTGAGGTCCTTTGCGTGGAAGCTTGGGAGTGTAAACATGTTGAGTGGTGGAGTGAGTCTAGCCTAGGTGGTGTGTGTGAGTATAGCATAAGGGTTGGAGACCTGAGCCGGAAAAGAATCGGTCCTCAACAGGAGGTTGACTCAATAATCAGTTCTACGCTAGTAGACCTATACTCGTGCGCATCAAAAACTCAATCCAGCGTACAAGAGTTATGACCATCACACGATCGTGATGACTTTCGATATTTCATCATTAATCCTCCCATTGCTTTACTAGTTGAGCAACATGTGCGGGTTAGAAGAAATCAATATGTCATGATCAATTTGTTTCAAAGTGAACCTAAACTCCTCTAGGAATTGCTTTTTGTTTGAATTTTTAACAATAACCAAGATTTAAAAAGAATCTAAGTTTCTCCAAAGGAATATATGGATTGATAGTTTGCAGAGGTTAACTAATCTTTTTAACTTCATTTTTTGTTTAACGGGGTCAGGGAGAAGTAGTCATGGACCCGGGCCAGGCCGGTTCCGGTTCGGTTCTGGGTCCGACCGAGCTTTTTTTTTGGGAAGGAAGAACCAGAACCGGCCTGGGTAGGCAGCGGTTCCGGGTCGGGCCGGTTCATGTTATTATTTTTTTAATTTTCTTTTGCTTTTCTAATTAACCCCCGACCCCCCCCCCTTCACCCCCACCCCCCCACCCCCCCCCCCCCACCCCCCAAAAAAAACACCCAGACCAACCCGGAAGAAACCAAAAAAATTGAAAAAAACAAAAAAAAAATGAAATAGGCCGGACCGGTTCCGGCTTTTAGGAGGCCCAAGCTCGCCCTGTTTAACTCCCGGTTCCGGGTGGCCCGGACCAGTCCTATGACCAGATACCGGGTCGGGACCAAACAGAACCGGTTCCGGGCCGGGCGGCCCGACCCGAGTCCATGACTAGGGAGAAGGAGAATGGGGGAGCTAGCTTGTGGTAAATGGGACTTAAATTGCTTGTATGAAATTTCGAACCCGAGACCTCCCATATTGGAGAGTGAGTCGGCGATCCATGTGATGGACCGCTTCCTTTGGTTAGATAAACTTTTTAATATGGAATTTTTTCGATTCAGAACCTAAAAGATTGATGAAGTATAAATCAGAGACATGAAAGATGTAATGTGTCGATACATGACCCGAGTGATTGAAATATATCCATCTAAGACCTAAATTTTGATTTATTTAATTCTTTGATGGATTTTTCTTCACAATAGTTTATTAGTTTAACAAAACTACATAATATATAAAATTTTCAAAAAACAATACTTCTCCCATTCTTTAATAGTTGTGCATTTGGATTTTTGCATTATTCACACATTTTACTTTGTTCATGATTTTCTACTAATATATAACCAAATCAGTACTCATAAAATATTATTAAATTTCTACTAATGTGACTTTTCAAAATATTACATTTTTATAATGTTTATTAATATGTAATTGAAGATAATTATACTCAAATTTTTGTATTGACAGACGTACAAATCAAACTGTTTCAATTAAAAAGAACGGATTAAAATTCATGAAAATTTAGGTCTTGAATTGATAGTCTTCAATCATTCGAGTATTATATTGACACATTTCATCTTCCAGGTCTTTGATTCATAGTTCATCTATCTTTCAAGTTCCAAATCAACAAAACTCAATCTAACATTTAACCATCATTACTTCAGAGCTGAGTTAAGAACTCAAGATGTTAGATTCTATAAAACCCGCAATAAACTAAATGTGGACTGTCAATATGATACTGCTCCTACATAAACAAATATGCACTGCATTTAACTGAATAATATACACTTATGGTCCAACTACATTCAGTGATTCAACCAATTTTTAACAAATCTAGATTCACCTAAATGAGTTCATTTAAATTCACTATCCAAATAGGCTACTGAAGTTTCAAACATTCCCGGCCGAGGCAGTCCTTGTATAGTAGGATCGCAGTTGATTCTTCTCCTATACACTTGCAGAGAATGATGCTATAGAAAAATTACAAAAAGAGCTAAAAACATGTTTCTTGTAATGTAAAATTTCTTGAATTTGAAAATATTTCCGTGTCAGTAGGAATCAAGTTGCTTAACAAAGAAATAGCAAGAATGTGTTTAGCTGGACAGGCTTGTCCACTATACGAATGAATCACCTAAAATATGGCAAGTCGCCCTTTTAAAAAATGGCATGTACAGAGAGAATTAGGATATAATCAGTCTAGATGGACACTTAATGCCAAAGGCTGCTGCAAAAACCATTGCGAGCCCTCTTATTAGAAACAATGTCCGAGAACGAATCAACCAGCTGACCCGCTAAGCTATTTGGATCATCAATGAGTGTTTGGATAAATGTGCTGACCACCCTGCGTTCCTGCACGCTCGACCTCAGGCTAAACCAAGTCAGCAACTTTAATCTGAAGTCTTTGTCAATGTGACCCTCACATTCCAGCCACCGGATTATCTTGACACAGTATTCAAAGTTCTCGTCCAAGTGGCCAAAAGGTGAACCCCCGGCCACCAGGGTGCTGCCCGAGTTGCTAGCAGCCACTCTCTTTCGAGACACTGTTGCCTCACCATAGCTTTGGGATTCGCCACTTCTGTTCTCATTGTCTTCGTCTCTAGAAGATTCCACGGGGAGGATTAGCTCTTCATTCAAATCAGGAACAGTGGCAACATTCAAGTCCAGCTGGCGAGACACTGAAGGCTTACAGTCATGTACTGTGTTTGGTTTGACAATATTACACGCTTCACAAAACTTTTCCATTTCTGTGCTACAGTACCCGTCCAAACAGCGTTCTTGTTGGGCCCATGCAAGTCGGAAGACTTCCCCGAGGTCTCGGACCTTGAATCCAGAATCTGACTCTATGTTTGTGGTTTCTTCTAGAACTTCTTTCCCTTGATGATTTCGAGCTAATGAGTTCAAATTTCTATGGGTTATTATCTCAGCACTCTTTGTAAAGCATTTAGCCTCAGAGTGACCCAAGTCACCAGACTCGGTGTAAGATATGATTCTGAATGAGTATTCAGTGCAAGGCAGCAAATTTGATATCAAAACTCTTCGCTGTGTTCTGGGGATGACACAAGCGGGCTCTTTTGTGTCGCTGTCTTCCCTAGCCCTACAGTACCAAAGCTTGTAGCCTTGGACATGTTCTGAAGATGATGAACTGCATACTTCTATCAATACAATCACAACTGAAGAGGACGTCACTTCCTCAAAAAGGAATTTGCACGCGGCTGGCAGTGAACCCTCCTCTAAAAGACAAGGTAAAAAGAATTGTTTAAGAAAAATATAGCCAGCCAACCACTAGTTCAACTTGTATGATATATAAAACCAATAGTTCAACAGGTACAGGAAAATCAGACAAGGGACAGTACCTCTCCAATTAGGAACTTCATCAGATTTTGTGGCTAGCAATTCATCAACTTTTTCGATAGCAAGAGAACAGAGAGACTGCACATCACCTGCAACAGGAAGCCTGCTGACAATGCCACGAGCCATATTAGCTGAAACTCCATCAAGAGGACCAACCTCAGTTTCCAATTTGTCTTTGGCATCTCTAATGATTTCAAGTAGTTCTTCAAATCGCGAAGATCCATCCAGGAGTTTGTAACACAAGTATATTCTGTAACACAAGATATCAACACGACGAGCATCTTTTGCAATAAGAAGTTGCTTCTTCCAGTATCTGCAAAACATCAGTCATAAAAGTAAAATGACTCCTAATCACTACCAAAACAAGAAGTGTAGAATTCAAAATTCAGCACACTATACCGAAAACATATAATACAAACTCAAAAGAAGCACATACATCAATTTGCTCTTTGCAGCTATAACCATGTATTCCCTCTGCCCCATATCAAGATTCTCAGTTACGTTTACTATGATTGACTATGATGAAGTGAACTCTCCTTAATAATATTTAAGTTACTATTAATAATTAAAATTCGCACAGTTACAAGTACAGTAAAATCCCTACCGAACCACTGAAATCAAACACAATAAATCTATAAAAATTTGTTATACAAAATCAGAGATTCAAAAGAGACTTAACTTGACCGCGGGAAAAGTGTAGGAGAACCTTATTCTAGGACAGCGGGAGTAAAAAAGGGATAATTAGCAAGATTCAATCTTATAAATGCAATTCTGAAGGGGTATGATATATCGATAAAAGGAGTTAATTTAAATGTTTCAGGAACAAGGGTAGTTCATAGAGCTGCTTGGGCATCACTTGTATAGAGGTTTGCTGGAGACAGAAGATTCCTATAGTAATGTAAAGGGGATAATGAACGTACCTCAGTATGCCTGATACTTTGCCACAAGAAGCACAACAGTAGCTACCATCTAGCTGCATTAGTTGCCCAAGGTCAACAACCCCCACCTTCCCACGCTGGAGAGCGCACTCGATATGACATGTTAAGCCACAAGACTCTCCTTGACCAGACTGTGATGTACATTCTAACCAAAGACTTGGATCCTTATTATCGTCAAACAAGTGACAGATGCAGCAAGAGCATCTCTTACAGAATGTGTCATTCATTGAAACAGTAGCTCTACAGGCGGAGTTTTTACAGATCCATGAATTTGAACACTTAACATCTGCAGAATAGGCTGGAGGTATCCGAACAGGGTTTCCACCCTTCCTGTCCTTCTTTCTTGAAGCATGATGATCTTTGGTGCTTAAAGATGTAGGCTTTTTTGGGTCTTGACTCTTGATAACATTCTTGATTGGTTTTACCGGATGCTCGGCCATTTTGCATGTAAAAGAAGCCAATTTCTTTTTTTCCTTATTAAAGTTCAGCTGAGAAAGATCCTTCACTACACCAGAATTCAGGGACTTCTGTAGTGAGTCTGGACTTCTGGATGAATCATCTGAAATTTTCCCTGGATTACTCTGGACACTTGAAGAAAGACTTTGAATGCCTGAAACTGAAAGAACAGATGTAAATACAGTCCTAATATGAAAAGCATATTGCCAACCATCTAAATAAAAACCTTTGAAATATTAAGGAAAAAGGTGCAAATAGGCCCATGTACTAACCAAAAAGGGTCAAATAAGCCCTTATTTAGGAGGCTATGTCCGGCCGTCGTCATTTGGGGTGGTTCCCGGTGGAATTTTTTGATGAAATGTTTTGAGCATATTATTCATCAAGTCTAGTTTACTCATACCAAATTTCAGTTAAAACTTCAATCGGGAAGGCATTCAAATGAATTCTTGAAGATAAAATTTCAGCTAAAACTGCACAGTTATTTTCAAGAATTCATTTGAATGCCTTCCCGATTGAAGTTTTAGCTGAAATTTGGTATGAGTAAACTACACTTGATGAATAAGATGCTCAAAAAATTTCATCAAAAAATTCCACCGGGAACCACCCCAAATGGCGATGACCGGACAGAGCCTCCTAAATAAGGGCTTGTTTGACCTTTTTCGGTTAGTACATGGGTCTATTTACACCTTTTCCCAAATATTAATGATAATAAGTTACATTGGGGGTGTTTGGAAGTGATTCTGCTTCTGTTTCTTTTTTAAAGCAGAAGCAGAATCAGAATCAGTTTTCAGAAGCTGGTCACCCCCAGCTTCTAAAAAAACTGATTCTAGGAGTAAATTTGAGTACCAGAATCACTTCTGCACTTTCATCCAAACACTCCAGCTTCTGCTTTTGCTCCCTGATGGAGTAGAAGCAGTTTTAAGAATCAGATCCAAACACCCCCATTGTCTTGAACATCGGGAATTGAAAAGTGATGAATATGTGCTGAATGACAAAATAAGATGAAAGGTATAGGATAACTTAGAATCCCCATCAATAAATATGTGCTGAATGACAAATTCTTTAATGAAACAATCAGGTCATGAAGTTAAACTCTTAAACGTCAATTTCAGCCTGATCTTTATAAAGATGAGAATAAAACACACAAATAACAAAGTTACCACTATAAAAGTGATGTGATTCAAATCAATCAGCATCCTATGAATTGATATCGGTTATGGCATGCCTCAAGCTAACTTATAAGCTAGTGATTGGCTGGGGAGCTTAATAGCTCCTAGGAGTGGCTTCAATTGCATACAATACTAGATCAGAATTAAAGAGACTAGTCCAGGCCAAACTAGAACAACCCAGTCTTTGACAGTTATAAAATACACAGAACAGAAATCTATTAGACTAGATCAAGTCAATTCAGGCCAAACCATATCAGACTTAAACAAACCAAACCAGAAAATTTCAGACCAAACCATATCAGACTTAAACAAACCAAACCAGAAAATTTCAGACCAATTAAAAACATCCTTGGTTCCAAAAGAGTTTGGATCAGCTAACAGTCATTGACATATGAAGTCAAACCTAAAAAGCATAAATGATAAGATAAGATAAAAAGAAAGAAGAAAAAAAGAAAAAAGATAAGATGGTGATAAAAAGGATAAAAAGATAAAGAACACAAGAACACAAGAAAGATACGAATTAAAAAGTATAAAAAGATAGAAAAGATGAAATTAGATCAACTCTACAACAACATCCAAGCCTTAGTCCCAAATGATATTGAGGTCGGCTAACATGAATCGATATATGATATCACATTATCACCAAAAGGAAAAGAAGGAAACTAAAGATAAAAAAGATAAGCTATTATAAAAAAAAAAAGATAATATAAAAGAGATGAATATACATATAAAAGATCAAATAAAAAGGATAAGGTAATATTTATATATAAGGATAAAGATATAAAAGAAAAGGAAAAAAGAGAAGAAGAAGAAGAAAAAAAAAAGATGATACAAAATCACTCCTCAACACGAATACCCGCCCTCCATTTTGCTCTCTCCAAATCCATACCCTCATCCAATCCACCTGAATATTTTACCTCCACTTCACTTTCTCCAAAGTCATATTCTCATCCCACCAAAAATACTCCCTCCGGTTTTTATTAAACTTCACTCTTTGACTTCACACAAAATAAGGAAAGAAATTTGACTTTACTGTAGAGTACACTGTTGAGGCACTTTTTGACACTATTTGGCACTGTTGAGACACTGTTTGGCACTGTTGAGACACTGTTTGGCACTGTTTGGCACTGTTTTGATGTAGATTTCTTTGCCAAAAAAGGAAATAAGGAAGTGTGAAGTTTATTTTAGACCGTCCCAAAAAGAAAAGTGTGAAATTTATTAAAAACCGGAGGGAGTAGCATGTAGTCGTGACTACTAATCTAGGTAGTTTACTCGCTACTCGGTAGCTACTCGGTCAAGGGCCGAGTAGCGAGTAGGACCGATTACTCGGGATTACTCGGTGATTACTCGGCCTAGTATTAATTAAATATAAAAAATATATTTAAATATAGTAGTCTTAAAATATAGTAATAAAATTGTCTTAAAATGTTTAGAAGTGAATAAAAGGATAGAAATTGTCTTAAAATGCATATAATACGTATACAATACCAGAATACAACTTCAAGAACCACGAGCAGTGGAAGAAAAGGCAAATATTTTCTGCAGTTTTTTGGCACCTATTCTTATTCCAATTGAAGAACTTCAAAGTAACTTCAAAGTGGCACCTACCGAACAACGAGTCCTCAAAGGTAGTTCCCTAAATGAAAATTGCGGCTCACCCAAAACCAAACATGATGCTTTTTTGCTAAGCTATATTTTTCCCACCTTTTCAATTAAGAGATTTTATTTCAGCATTCAGCAACTCAAGTCTCAGAGGTACATTCAATACATTCACTTTAGTTGGCCAAAGACTTGAAAATGTACAATGAAAACACTAGTTTAAGAAGCACAAGCAAACGAAGAACAATCCAAAATTCTTAGAGTTTATTACAGTATACAGAGAAGAATATAATAGGCAAGATGAGGGAGAATAAGAAACAACACAGAGGATAATCTCAATTTAATTTTTTCCAAGCGGAGGTAATGTTTTTTTAAATACCGAGTACTCCCGAGTAAATCGCCTTTTTGACCCACTGACCGAGTTGGCTAACTCGCCGAGTACTCGGCGAGTAACTCGGAATAATAACTCGGGCCGAGTAATGTGCTACTCTGCAAGGTCATAGGCCGAGTAGGGAGTACTCACCGAGTACTCGCCGAGTAAATAACCCAGCTACTAATAGTATTTGTTTATGTCTTCTCCTCCCTTTCCTCCCTGCCTCTTCTCCTCACCTCTCAACTCGTTTAAGAAGTGCATCACTCGATCTTTTACGCGCATAGTCAAACCAGCGCAATTAGGCCTCTCACATTTTATACCCAATAGATATTACTCCCAACTTTTATATAATTGTCTCTTTTCTCAAGCAGCCTTTTATAGTATGTTCACACATGTAACACAAAATGCGGATCTCAATCACATCATCTTTTGAATGTGACATGGTTTCACTGTCTAACGCTCTACGCCATATTGTAATCCAGGGTAATTGATGTTCGAAAAACTAACCCATTGATCTAGTCGGCATATCTTAATCACATAGAAATGTCGATGCACGCTTTCATTTCATCCACATTGTTCTGATTCTATGGGATACATCTCTCTATCTACCTCACTGTCTTTGTGAATTATGGAGCCTAGCCAACGGAATATATTATATATCACTAACCGTTACCTCCTTACCATCTAAGGTAATCCCACTGTTACCGTTACTTCTACCTCTACAAACTTGCACTTCATATTCTCTGTCTTGCTTCGATTCATCCCGAAAGTCTCAAGTGTCCCTTATTTAAAATTGCCATTCCACCTTAATTACAAAATGAAGTCAATTAAAATTTCCTAATAATCATGATTATATAATGATATTATTTTTCAAAAATTTAAAGTTATGTAAATGAATCAAAATTTCAGCTTGTGCTTTACCTCATGCATAATTTTTCCCTATATAGACCACATACAAATATAATTTAGATAACTCTTAAGTCTTTAATAAAAGTTGTTGAATGAGAACACAAAGTCTCGTGAAACATTAAGTTTTGTGTGATTTGATAAGACAGTAAACTCAGTTCGGATTATACAAGTTTACAAATGAGTGGTTATATAGGATTTTTCACTAGTTCCTATACGGACTCTTATGCCATTTTCTTGATGAGGTTTCAGTTCAAAGTGAGATGTATTTAGCCTTCATAAAAGTTGTGGTTTCTCTTCCATGTGAATATATGATCCAGATTTCTCAAATAGAGAAGAAAGATGAGAAAAATAAAAAAATAAATTAAGATAAAATGGATAAGATAAAGATAAAAATAACATAAGAACATAGGAAAAATAAAAGATAAAAAGAAAAAAGAACATAAGAAAGATAAAAGATAAAATAACATAAGAACATAGAAAGATAAAGGAGATAAATGATAAAAGAAAAGGAGAGAGAAAAGAGAGAAAAGAGATCGATTGTCCTCACGAATATGTTCCTCTAAGCCTAAAGGAATAAATTAGTAACACCTCTATTTGATTGAAATCAATTTGGAATGGTCTTTTTACAAATAGTCCAATGAAGAAAATGTGTGCAATGATGAAGTGCATTCTTAGAAGGATGTGTGCCTAAACTAGAGAATACATAGTTCACAATGAGGAGATCCGTGAAAAGGAGAGTAGTAGTATCCAAGATCCCAGGTGAAAAAAACTGAAGGATGAAGATTTTTGTACATGTTCACTGGAGAATATTTATTAATCCAGTGGCTGAGCACAATGGTTTTAGATTAAAGTTTGGTAATTGTTGTTCTTGAGAGACATCATTCCAAGTTAGTATAGGCTGAGAGAAGAAAAAACCTTCCAGAGTCCTAAAACTATGTCAAAAGATACACGGAGTAAAAGTTTTTTCCTTTAAAAGACAATTTGGGAATAAATTTTTAAAAACAATCTTACATTTTATGGTTGAATTTTTTTTGAAAGGGAGGCAATAGAATAATGGCCAGGACAATTGGTTCCCACTTTTCCAAGTAAGCACATTAGCAGTAATACCATGGCAGAAATTGGTCAAAGGTTCCTGCCACAAGAAAGGCAAAAATTGAAGAAATGTAGAATAAGAATTTATACACATCAGGCACTGGCTGCATTAAGGAGAAATCAAGACAAACCAACATTAATCATCTCCTGTGGAAAAGTCACAAAATACAAGCATAGAGAGTGGCTCCAAGAAACCCGTATGGTTAGAAAAATATAAACTTTCCCTTCAATTTTTAAAGTTCACCAGCAAAGCTCAATTGTGAGGAATATCTCACCTTTCACAAGAAATCTGTCTTCTGGATCCATTATGAGAAGAGCTGCTAAAATTGATGATCACACCCTCCCTGTGAAAGTCTGTCTTCTGGATCCTTCATTTGTAGCATATTGTTATGTTCACAAATTAGTAAGCTCACTGTAAAAGATTGTTAGACTTGCAAAGCTCCTAAATTTGAAGCTTATTAACAGTGCATTTATAGCAAAAAGTTAACCATCCATATGCAAGCTTTCAAAGCCCTTGATCATCAAGTTTGAGTGTGTCTGCTTAACTATACTATTCAATGCAGTAGTATTGCCATACATAACAGTGTTTAAAGTGACACTTGCAATTTATGTCAAGCAAAAATAATAGCATCTCATCAAAATCACTGCCCATAAACATATTTAAATCGTGATTAGTGTAAACTTTAAATAGGAAAAGCAAATTTGGTGTAAGGACAATTGTTTTGTGGACTATCTTGAAAATGAGACTAAAATCAGTTTCTGTAGTGCTTATCAAGACTGAATGAAAGAGACATGACCCCTTGACCCATCTATGCCAAATGAACTAGGGACTTGACATAAGAAATAATAACAGTGTTAGACCCTGAAATCGCACTTTTAGTCCCTGAATAGTCACCAAAATGAAATGTTAGACCCGTATTTTTGAGATTGTAAATGTCACCCCTCAATTGTCCAAATTGTTGTAAATGTGATCCTTTAAGTGGTGAAATGTACTCTCGCCCACATTTACAGCATTTTGGACAATTGAGGAATGACATTTACAAACTTGGGAACACGGGTCTAACATTTCAATTTCACGACTATTTCAGGGACTAAATGTCTTTCCCTTATTTCATTATAGCTAAAACGTGGATTCATCTGTGTCAGGCATTGTGCAATTGCTATACCTGAAACTAATTCCCTACTCAAAATAAGCTAAACAAAAATGCATTATTAGCTGAACTTGAAAAGATACATGGACAAACCAATTCAGCATAATTAAAACACTACTGTTGATTGGGTAAAACAAAAAAAAACAAGAACTAATTTCCACCAAAAAAAACGTTTCCATTGCAATGTACTAGGTATAGAGCATATCGGCGCATATAGTTTATCCCTACACGCAAAGGCTTCGTTACCAGTGAAACCAATCAAGAATGACAGTTGGCTTCAAGCTTACAAATTCAATGAATCAGCTGTAACCTGCAAGATAAGACCAAAAACAGCAGCCCACAGACCCAAATTTGGCATTGACTATTCAAAATTCCAAACAACCTTAGCAAGCATACTCAAGAAACTGTATTCTAACAAGTAATTATCATAATCAAGGGAGCCTCCACAATTACGCAGTGATCACATCCTATCTCCACAAAAAATCAAACTTTACTAGAATTACACAACAAACCATCAAGAAAACGAAAACCAAGAGACAGATCTGAAACCAGGGACGTTTTACATGTCAATAGCCACATACGGAGCATCACATTATCATGATACAAACATGACACGTCACGCATGACGTCAAACAACCAAAATAGGAAAGAAACCTGTGAGAGGAGAGGCAGACATGGAGGAGATTAGGGTTTACACGAGGCTTGATGTGAAGAGATCAGCTCGGGATTATCTGGAGGGCAAATGGGAAACGAATGAATGAAGGCGAAGAAGAAATTGGGAAGAAAGTAAAGCTGTTGAACACAGCTCGGAATCTTTTCTGCCCCTAAAACGCACGCTCATTGGAGCTGGATAGACGCATGCTCACGCGACTCCATGGCGCGGCTGTTGATTCTGGTTACAGTTTATAGCTAAAAATACTCGTTTGTGCTTTCCATACGTCTTTCTTGCGCGTACGTTATTTTAATTGCTGGATAAACTAATACGGAGTACATACGGAGAATAAAATACAGTATTAGTATACCATCTGGTAAAAGTTTCTTTCTTTTTTGGGCTGTGGCCTGTGGGTAAAAGTTTCTTAAAGCATGACAAATTGTCAAATTATAAAAATACTTTTCAAAATTCAAACTAAATACGGAAGAAGCGTATTTCCGACGTTACAAATAAGAGAGTATTTACTTTGGTATGCAATCAAAAAATAAGGAAAAATTGATACTAATAATCCAATTTTTATCCGGTTTGCAAGGAACGGTCACTATTATTGATAATCTAAAAAAAATCCAACCTTTGTATGCATTTTTCGTTCAACGATCCCTATGACTTGCTACCGGCTACCAAAGTAATTCTGTTTACCTAACGTTCATTCTACCCGCGTAACCCTTTTACTTTTAACGTTTTTACTTGATTCTCTTACCGTATTAGAAAGTTTCTGGGAAAGGGAAATTGACAGAGAACGACATATCTGAAGACGGCGAAACAATACCGTGGTGGAAGGAGGAACACAACGGTGCAGCCATTAAAGGTAAACTTTCAAATCCCCGTTGATTATTGGTGTTATGAAGGTGTGCAGTGTGTGCAATATACTCCGTATAAGTTAAAAAAACTCAAAACCCAAGATAGATGCTTAATCATTTAAGGTGATGGACCTGTTTCTAACAATAGTTATTAGATTACTTCTTGATATAAAAGGTAAAGGTCCCCTTTATTGAGCGTATATTAGGTGTTTGATGGAATGCCACAGCCATGTGATTTGGAACTTTATACAAACCTAAAATATACTCAATAGATCAAGCTTAGTGGACGGTGTGTGAGCCTAGAATAGACTATAAAATTGTTTATGAAGAAATTATTATAAAGAAATCACTTCAATACTTAATACACGAACCTTTAGTTAGTAAAATAAATCAAAATGATTTATTAGACAGTCAATAAAATTTTATATGATAACCTTAAGTATACTTAATAAACCAAACTTAGAGGACACTATCCTGTAACCTAAAATATACTTTATGCAGTGACCTCAGGGGACACTATAGAATAAAAAAATATCCAAGTTATAAGTAATAGTGAAGTGACGTTTTATTTAGGTTTAGTTGATTATCATGCGGTTATAAATTTTTCAAAATGATCATTTAGTTCTAATTAATGAGGTCCTTACTAATATTGATAGTTTATTAGTGTCATTGAAAAAATTAAGATACTTGGTTAAAGGTAATGCTTAATATGTTTTTATTCTTGTGTAGATGGCTGCAATGGATCACGTAAGTTTGAGATTCTGGCATGGTGGTTTGTTCATGAAGAAAAAAGATAAATTGCTATATCTGAACGGTGAGTGTAAGAGTTTTGACGTTGATCCTGATGAACTCTGTTGGTTTTGGTTGGAGGAGTTGGCAAAGAAATGTGGTAGTTACACCACCATTGATGAAATATATTATTTGATTACTGGTCTCAGCTTGGATAAAGGGTTAAGGAGAGTATATAATGATAAAGAGGTACTACAAATGAGTGAGATAGTGCTCAAAGCTAGATCACTCAAGATGTATGTGGTGCATGGGCTTGACCAAGCAGAACTAGTTGTGATGTTACCTTCAATCCAGAACACAGAACCTCGTACAGAATCTGCAAATGAAAACCAAGTGGCTGGCTACAACATTGTAGATGATGAGGCACATACAAACATTGATGACCACGATGAAGCCGAATTAGAAGGTCAATTCGGTGAGTTACAAGGTCAAGTTGAAGGTTAGCCCAATGACTTGTTTTTTTACTGAGGAAATGAATATCTGAGTGATGATGAAGCAGAAGTTAGCGATGATGAATATAGAGCTGCGAAGGATAAGGTCACAGAATGTAATAACAAGTTTTTTGAAATTGCAACACAACTTCAGAAAGAAGCAGCAGAAGGTACTCTAGAAGGTCAAAAAACCAAATCCCATTCCAATATGGATGACCTGGATTGTTGTTTGAGTGGGTATGAGGACAGTGAGGAAGAAATTCACACTCCACCGGATAGTGCAGAAGAAGACTTAGACAATGGCAGAAAGCAAAAAAGAATTGATACTTTTGTCAATTCAAATACTGACTTCTCAACGTTTGAGTGGGAGGTGGGGCAGAGATTTGCTACTTGGGAGGAATTTAAGAGGGCTGTAGCTAAGTTTGCTATTTTACAAGGTCGCAATTTGAGCTTTGCTACGAGCAACAAAAAAAGACAACAAAGGTTGGGGGTAAGGTGTGTAGATGGCTGTCCGTTTAGGCTATGAAAAGGAACAAACAATTGAAGTCTAAATGGGTTGCAAGGCAGTTTCTTGATGTGTTTAAAGCAAGACCTCACTGGCCAGCTAAAGAGATTATTGAGACAGTGAAGAGAGCGTACAAAGTAGTTATTTCAAGAGACTTCGCATATAAGGTGAAATATTGTTCTCATAAAATGCTCCATGGGTCAATGGAGGATCACTATAAAAAGGTTGGGAGATATTTAAGTGCTCTGAAGAATTCCAGTCCTGGTAGTGAATTAGTGTTGGTCACCGATGTTAAGAAACAATTTTGTGGCCCAATTTTTCAAAGGTTATTCACATGCTTTGAGGGGCTTCAAAAAGGGTGGAAGGAAGGGTGTAGGAAGGTTATATGTGTGGATGCGTGTTTCCTAAAAACTTTCCTTGGTGGGCAGTTATTATATGCAGTCGGCAGAGATGACAATGACCAAATATATCTCATTGCATGGACAGTCGTAGAAGGTGAAAACAACCTGTCATGGGAATGGTTTTTCAAGCTACTCCAGAAGTGTCTCGACTCGGAAGAAGGAGCACACTTAGCTATTATTTCAGATGAGCATCAGGTTATAAATGAGGATGATTATGTAATTACGTTGTCATGATTTATTAATATTTGATTCAACTTAGGTGTACTATTAAAGTTTAAGTCATTAAAATACCACGAAGTGATTTCTTTATATCTTTTAAACAGTTTAATTGAGTATGAATAATATAAGTGATTTGTTTTCATCCATAACAATACTTTCAGTGAGTATGACTACTCCAACGGATTTCAGTGAGTATGAATATATAAGTAGTGATTTGTTTGTATTTAGGCACCATTGCAGTGAGTATAACTACTTGTTTGTATATACAACTACTGTTTTGTATATATAGTTACTCATTTGTTTAGTTCTTTATTTATATTCTCAACTTATTTGTTTATATTTTTTTTGTAGAAGTTTCAGTCTGTATGACTATTGTAGGATTTGTAGCTGGCTATTTTGTAATCATAATAGTAGTTTCAGACAATATGAACACGTTTTTGGATTTTACAGGCTATCTTGAATGCGGTTTCCAAAGTGCTTCATCTAGCTGAGCATAGACACTGTCACTAGTAAAAAAATAGCTTATAGTGACATTAAATTAGTGTCACTAAACGATTTAATGACACACTGAAAGTGTCACAGAAAAGCGGGGCAAGTGACACAAAATTTAGTGTCACTGATTGCTAAACAGATTAGTGTCACAAAATTATGACAATAAAATATCACATAAAATTATGACATTATAATATCATAACTTTTTTTTGACACTCTAGTATCATAAAGATATATGATACATTAGTATCATAATTAAACATTGATTTCGATATGTGTGTGTGTGTGTAATATAATTCAATACTAATAAATAACCAAAATTCAAAGATTTTTATTTATATCTCGATTTCTTACATAAATGTGAATGTACATACTTCATACGACATAATTCATGGGGTCACACCCCGAAACAACAAGTAATATACAAGAACAAAACACTAAAAAGTCTAACTTTTACACCACACTTCCTCGGGCCTTCACATATCTTCTTTTGCAGACTTGCACAGAATGAAACCAGTTCTTATGCTACCAACTTTATTGTTTGAAACCTCACTTGCTTCTATCATACTTCACCTGCAAAGTGGACGTTACAGTAAACACACACTAGTTCAACTTAGTACATCTTTTCTATAAATAGGTAAAATTTCAACTCTAATTTACAAAATAAAACAACTAAGCAAAGAATGGAATTACGGAACACAACAGGCTACTTTCAAAATTCTAAACAAGAAAATAAACAAAATTTACAAAAACATAACACAAATACAAGTAAACTAGCAACAACTTGCTACTTGCACGCTGAAAATTTGAAATTTTTAGTAAAATAAACTTACCCGTCAAAGGGCGAGTAGCAGAAGCCAGAAGCTAAGAAGCGCACATTTAAATCCCTATTTTATAGTAAAAGGACTTACTTGGAAAAAATGAATAGCATCTCTAGCGACCTGTTTAAAGACTAACCAATTCACAGATAAATAGAGAAAGAATATATAAGATGGTGTGTGTCTAAGTAGGGGGAAGCTAAAAAAGATACTCTCACGTCCCTGATATGTCTAAACCGTAAGGACTGTGATTGAAATATGTCTGGTTTTGTTTAGTGAAGCTGAAATAGATTAATGAAAAGAGTTACCTGAAATGATATTTTAAAAAGCAAATAAATTCATAGTGAATATCTAAAAGGTGAACACAAGTGTCTTTTGTTCTTCATTACAACCAAATATATTATTAACACGTCTCGCCCAAGCAATCAGATGAGTGAGTGGTTTAAAATCTGAGTGATCAAGATGATAAGCCAGAAAAAAATGTCCTTACAAATGAGCACACAATAGAACAACTTCATGATTATTGTCTCAGCTTATCAAAGAATCTACATTTTTGATCTCTAGTTTTGCCTTCAATATAAGCTTATGAAGTCATCCTTCAACAATATTGCTAAAATAGTGGCTGTCAAAATAAAATAACAAAGGTGATAATTAATTAGAAGGAAATATAAGTTTAAGAGTAAAGAAGTTCATGGGTAATTAGAAGGAAATAAAATTGCTAAAGTATTGGATCTGCCAAACTTGGGCTAAATAAACATATTATGATCATGTTTTCTCACGTGAAAGTTAGAAAAGTTGTGTCAAAATGATCCAAAGTTTATATTTGAGTTTAAATTTATACTATATTACATAAATAGGAGAACAAAGTTGTTAAAGTTTGAAGGAATCATGCAAGTCTCAAACTAGTCATAAAATGTCCTGGGCAGAGACAATACCAGTTAATGGTAAATCAAAGGCAAATCTAAGAGTACCAAAACATCTCAAAAGTATTACCTAGTGAGGATCCTGCAAAAATGAAATACTATACAAGATAGGAGTAGAAGTGAAACTAATATACACCGAATGTACATTAAAATAGGGAAAAGTGTCAAATAGGCCCCCCTACTAATACAAAAAAGTCAGGAGATACCGAAGAGAAGGCTAGGATATACCGACTCAGTTCTAGGTTTGATCTCTATAAACATCAAGTTTTCATCGATAAACCAATAATATCTGAGGTACAATATATTTTGAATGAAAAGATACTCGCAGTGATGAAATATCTCTGAGAACATGTCAAAGCATGATAAAAACAAAATGAGATGTAACTTTAGTTGAATTTTTTCATTCAAATGCCGGTTTTGGGTGAGTCACAAAAAAAAAAGCACAAACTAATGAATGTTAATGTATTATTTATTACTTTGAGAAGTACACCCAAGGCAATAAAGTTTTGATTTGTGATGTTTGTAGGTAGCTCTCCACTCAAATCATTGTTTCCAAAATACTTGAGAAGCACATTTCAACATTACAATTACTATAATGAGGCAGAGTCTTTATATGACTTTGATATATACAGATGAGTGTATATGTTTGACCATTTAAAATGTTTTCTATTAAACTTTGAGTACACTAATCCGTAAAACAATAGAAGTATAATAAAAAGTAAATTGGTAGAATACCTTCATTACAGTTGACCGCCTACAGTGAAGAAAAACACCAAGAAAATACCACCAAATAGCATATATGAGTTACTAACTTTAAATTAGGTGAAGGAAAACATTTACCAGTACTAAAGAACTCTGCACACATAAACAATCAGCACAATAGTGTTCAATTAACAGTTACAGTACTAAAGAATTCTGCCCACATAAAAAATCAGCACAATAGTATTCAATTATTCATCACATAGACTACAAATGAAGGAAAAAACAGTAGTACCTCTGTGTGAAGCATTTTTATTAAATGAAGAGGCTCCCTAACCAAATGCCTTTTAACCCTATCATTCCTAAAACACAATCAATCATGGAGGGTAAGATACGATAAAAAAAGTCTAAAGTTTAACTCTTAGGTGGTACATACCTCAATTTAAGCCAATGAGTTGGATCACGGTTACCTCAATTTAGTGCATTCCATGGTTTATCAACAGCCACCATCAGGTTCTGTTTCCTTCCCATTTGGCCTAGGAATTACACCAACAATAGCTTCTTTAGCAATTCCAGGTTGCTTAGTAGCAGGATTGACCAAACCAAGCTGCCCAGATAGCGTAGTAGCAGCATCCCCTGCATTGGCAGTAGCTTTTGCATCAATAGAAACCGCCCCAGGTTTGATTTCAATCTTCTTGATGCCATTCCCATTAAGAGCTGGAACTCTTCATCCGTATCAGCAAGGACTGAAAACATAGACCTGGTTTGTACAGAAGATGGCTTCACAGACTCAGCCTTCTTTCTAACCATCGAAGAATAGCCAAGCGTAAAAATACAGAATAAAAAACAACGCCTAATCTTCTGCAAAACTCAAATCGTATATGAACAAGCCATAGCAGGTAGCAGGCTCGAACTCAGAAACGATGATAACAGTACCTGTTTCTCTTTTCTTCGCACCCAAACCTACGTTTCAGACCTGAGGTTAGAAACAACTGAAATCAAGGTTCGTTGGGCTCGTCAGGAGATGACGAGTCCCACATCAGTCCCAATTTTTAAAAGAAAACTCATAATTCCAGATTTCTACAGACCTTAAACAAAGCATGAACAGTACTTCAGCGATTATTTTCTAATTTCTGGAGTCGAATCTACCATCCAAACTTAAAACCAAGCATGGATTGCAGTAGGCCGACGATGTAGGGTTCTGAGAACCGTAATGCCTCGAAGGCCTTACGAATTGCAGAAAGAGCTCGCCTACCATTTGCGAAGGTGCCAACCAACGCAAATCGAAAGAGATAGTTGGGGTACCTTTGAACGAGCCAAACCTTTGGACCGGTGAACCCAATAGATCCAAAGCGACTTTGGGCGAGAACGCGTCGGACGGGGACGGGGACGGGGTCCCTTACCGCTGCTGCATACGTTGACGTTCCAGCCATCGGTCTGTGCCCCTCCGTCGGCGGCATGGGATTCCGCACAGGTCTCAGGTTGGAATCGGAGGTTATCGTAGAGAGAGGACATAGCTTCTACAAAAGTAGGTCAAAAACATATTTCTCTTATTTAGAATAATGACCCCGAGCAGGATAATTTTTTTATGAGAATTATAAATATGATCTGTTTCTACTTTTATTAGTGTCATTATAAGACGCTGATACCATTGTGTCACAAAGCTATGGCATTTATGCATTTTCAAGACAATATGTCGTCTATTAATGACACTTTATCACAAAGTGTCACTGATGAAGTGTCACTATAAGACACTTTTCTACTAGTGTGTGCATGACATATTTTTGCTTTATGGCATAAATATAACACGGGGGATGATATGAAAATGAAGTTTTGGAAAATTGCTAAAGCATATAACATGGCAGATTATAACGAGCCGTTTGATGAGTTGGCA